GTTTAAAAAAAAAAAAACTTTAAAGGGATGGTTATGAAAGTTCTTTCACCAGCATTTCGCTCCAAACCTGTATTACTTTCTTATTTCAGCTGAACACAAAAGAAGATACTTTGAGAAATGACCCAGTTAACTCAATGTTCACTAAAAGGGTTTGTTAGCAACTTTCTTCAAAATATCTTCTTTTATATTCTTTGGAAGAAAGTCAAACTGATTTAGAATGACAAAGTTTTCATTTTTGAGTGAACTATCCATTTAACATATTTCTGAGTGTGTTATCACTTAAGCGAATGAACTTATTTTTTAACTTATAGTTTATGCTGAAAGTTTTTTTTATAATATCCATATACTAAAGGCTAAACAATGACATTTCCCAGTGTCACCTTAGGCAGCTGCTGTTGTGATCCAGGTCACAGTGAACCCCTACTCCAAGCTCAAATACAAGGGTGCGCCAGACAACAAGAGATGTGGTTAAAGCGTGTGGCTTGTCCTCTAAATGTATTCTATTTTTCATCTTTTCTTTGGGGGATTGTTGGTTGGTAGAGGAGGGTGTTGCAGCAGACGCAGGCCTTTTCCGGAGATGAAAAACGGTTTGGTAGTTTGAGAAGCAGCATCTGTCCCTTTTCTTCTCCTCTCTCCCCTTTAATTACACAACACAATAGCCACGAGATGTGCCCATAATCTGCACACATAATCAGCCTCTCTTTTCTCTCTTCCGAGCCCCTATTCCGTACGCTAATTCAATATAAATGTAAATTACCACGCGAAAAGAATAAAGAAATCTCAATCTATTTACATGACTAATCACAATAAATGCGTTCCACATGAAATATGAATGAATGCATCTCGATTAAGGGGAAAAGTGGGTTGTGGGTGTCAGGCAAGGAGCACCTAAGAAGCTGTTCAAACAATTTTATATTTATTTTATTTATTTATTTTTTTACAGTTTTCTCACACACTTTTGTGCTTGTCTGTCTGTAAAAGTCAGGTTCAGTGTGATATGAAATGTACAAAACTGTTAATAGTATCATTGGAGACAACACTTACAACAGTGAATACAAGTCGGGTGAATATAACTATAATTTAGGATCATGATGGATTAAATAATTATATATATATATAAAAAAACATGAACCTATCTGTCAGGATTACCAGCGTTACTCCTAAACTGCAATATACATTCAAAGAAAAAGAAGATACAATTTTCTCAAAACTTTGTGGTTGAAATGATATCTGATTTACTGGGCTACAGCAAGAATAACTGATTGGATTAGTAGAATTATTGGATGTTCATGGATTCAAATCTTTAAGATACATTCAGAGTTAGTTTGAAGCAATTAATGTTAATGTTAACATTAATGCTTTGTTTTATGCCTGTGAAATTATCAGTACTATTTTTTAGAATTATGGAAATTTTGATCATCCTATATTCTGTAGGCCTACTATATAATATATACTGTATTATAACATACAACCATAACTTGTTTCAAAAAATTAATCTGAGGGACTAGGCAGGTGACAGGTGAAATTTAAGGGTTATTTATTTATTATTTACTTTTCAAATGTCAGATTTACTTAGTTTGCATCTCACAACTTTTGCCTAGAAGCATTTACATAAATGGAATCAGTTTAGTATAACAAATGGAGGTGGTTTGGCACAGAAAGGAATGATTCAATGAGAGTAAAGCCTTGCATGTATCATAATGACTAATACATGCAAGGCATGATCTGATATAGATAAAACTGATTATGCTTTTCTGAAACGAGATGAAATATTTCTTATTTGTATGCTTTTTGGACATCTCAGGAATTCAATAATAATTAACGTTATCATGTTTGTTTAGGTGAGCACTGACATATTTTTCACATGAATGAAACATTAAACCCAATATATTTATTATAAACTGCTAATGTTCCATATCATTTGTCTGTTTTATGCGGTACAGTAGTTGCAGTGATTAAATTAACACAACTCATGAAGGTTGACTAAATGATTGATTGTTTATTGAATATTATCATCACAAATTATGATGGAGTACATTGAATAATGTTGTCTTGTGTGTGTTGTTACACTGATGTCATAAAAAAAATTATTTTACTATTCGAGTTTAAGCCCTCTGTCTACTTTTGTTCATGAACAATGCAGAAAAATATGAGATGGAACTGATGCCCTAAAGTAAATCGAATGATGTCAGATTTTAGAGAAATAAATAACTGCCCAGAGATCACAGCCGAGTCTGTGCTTACATAAAAACAGCATTTCAGCAAACACCGAGCTTCCTTCTGTTTGGGTTTGCTTGTACTATTAACCAACCACAGAACTCCTACAGTACATCTGCTTGTAAACCACATATTGATCTTTACTGATCAAAATGTGGTTTTAAAAAAATAAAGATGGCGGACAGGAAGTTTGGAAAAGTTTGGCTGATTATGGAAAACCTGGTATATATGTTTTCGGCATAACCCAATGAATGTATTAAGATCAGTGTCATTACAATCTGCAAATTTATTCAAAACTTATTAGCATTTTAGGAAATTAATTATAACTTTTGACCAAAAGGTGGCGCAGTCTCAAAATTTTTTGAGTACTTTCAGGGAATGCTGCTTACGGCACACACTGAGTTTCATAATGTTACAGCATGCATTTCTTAAGTATAGCATTTAAATTATTTAAACTGTATTGAATTCAATGGCAATTTCACATTTAGTTTTATTATAGCGCCACCAAGAGGCCCAGTCCCACCACTTTTTTTTATGTGTCCTCAGAGTGAGCCCATACATCTGTGTCAACTTTGGTGAAAATATCTCAATTCGCTTCAGAGTTATAGACATTTATGTGAAAAAAACACATCAAAAATGATGCCACATAGAGGCTCAGTCCCTCTAGTGACACGTGAGTCACGTGTCACAGACTCAGTGACACGTGACTTTGAATTTTACTACCCCTTACTATCAATATTTTGACATTTGGGCATTGGCGTACAGCCAACGACCTATGGTTCCAAAACCTCTGACGGTGGTTTCATCTCAGTCGGACAAACGGTTTCGAAGAGATATGCGAATGTTTTGTTCTAAATTACACTGCACAAACCATATGCTGAAACCTGGCAAGTCTGGTATCATTGAACTCGGCAAGGGTTCAGGAGTCTAATGGTATGACTTCCGTGAAAATAAGTCACTGACAGAGTTATAAGTGTTTGAAAACTTTATTTTACCACTAGGTGGTGCTGTTTAAAAACTTCTCAGGGTCCTTCAGGGCATCGTACTGATGACCCATACCAAGTTTCATAATTCGTTCATGCGTTCAAAAAATACAGCATTTTGGCACATAATTCAAAATGTCCGACAGCCAAAATGGCTGATCTGGGCATATTAAATATTAATAATCAAATTGGATATAAATTGACTTTGCATGACACCCTGACTCTAATGAGACCACTTTTATGATTTTTGGACAAACCGTTCAGAAGTTATGAGCAAAAAATGATATTTTTCATATCATGTCTCTAGACCAGTAGGTGGCGCTTCGCCGAAACGTAGCATGTAACCTTAGGTCAGTGGTTCTCAACTCCAGTCCTCGGGACCCACTGCTCTGCACATTTTGTATGTGTCTCTTATCTGACACACTCAGTTCAGTCTATCCGGACTCAGTTCAGTCTATGAGGCAGTTGAGAACCACTGCCTTAGGTCATGCTTGTGATGACATGTACCAAGTTTGATCTGAATAAGATTAAGCATAGCGGAGATACAGCCTTATGTCTGTTTTCGCAAGCGCTACGTAAAATTAGTTTGTGCGTTTATCAAAATCGGTTAATCCATAACTTTTTGTCGGCACTGCCTGGACATGATCTGGTGCAATTTTGGTGAAAATCGGACATACGACTTTACGAAAGTACGTTTCTTTTGGAAAATTCAAAATGCGGACATATTTTTATGAAACAAAATGATTTTGTTTCATGACGAATTGTCATGAGCTCAGGAATCAGAGGAAAAAATAATTTTGTTGATAGGCCTAATGTACAAAAGTTATTAGCATAATTTGAGTGAAACTTTGGACAGGTGGTGATGCTATAGGCAATGAGTTAGAGACTTTAGAGACTAAAATGAGTTAGAGACTAAAATTGGTGTATTTAATATTTAATGTTGTCCTCTATCAGAATGTCAAACCAAAACAACTTTCCCACAATCGGTTTTATGGGCTGGCATAGAAACGGAAGAATAATGAGAACAAGAACAGATAGGTACCTCTAATCCTTTGGTGCTTGGCCCCTAAATAATATAAGGTGTGTCCCAGTCTGCGTATTAATGCCATTTGTATTATAAATAGGGTTTGCTCTGAAAATTCCAATAAGAAGAAGTGTGGAACATCACAACAGTTGCACCTTGGGGACAGGCTATCCAACTCTGATGCTGGATTACAAAATAAACTTTTTAAGTACATTGAAAATGAAAAGTGCTTTGAGTTTAGTGTCATTCCAGCCCGTTCTCATCCCAAGACGTCATATACTGCCGCTTTTGCCAAAGCGTATACATCCAACGCACATGGCACGGCACCCTTTAGCGTCAATATGAGACGCAGATATATATGGGCCAGAAGGCGCCTCCTAGTGGTCTAACCCCAGACCTAAACCTATAACCGAAGCATGTTATATTGACGTTAAAGGGTGCCATGTGCATTGGATGTATACACATTGGCAAATGCATCAGACACCTTGGGATAAAAATGCATTGGTCATTCGTGACAAGAAAGTTATTGCACCTATATGCATTATATTTGTAAAACTGCAATTTGTTTTAAAAGGACTGTTAGTCTTAGAGTGGTGACTTTAATAGTATATAAAAAGCACATGCTTCAAAACTGTGGCCAGTCTAAATTCTAAACACTGAATTATATAAGACAACATTTAACATTTAATGCATGTTCCAATTATAATAATAATAAAAAACATAAATAGGGAATTAATGTGAATTCCTTTCTGAACTCTGTCTGGTCTTGCTCACAGGTATTTCTGATGACAATGTATTGGAGGAAAGCCGCAGACAGAATGCTCTCTCTAGCACCACCCCACACAACCGTTACCTCCGAAATGTGGCCCAGAACACTTCAGAGGAGGAGAAAGAGGAGGACAGAGGCCTGCAGAATCTGGGACTTGCCAAAGGTTTGTGTCCCAGCTGGACGTTGTGCCTGTAGGGCAGAGACCAAGATCAGAGGAGCAGAGCAGTCCAATGCAGGGTTGATTCATAAAGACATTCGGTTTGGTATTGTTCAAGGTTACATCAGCGAGTCAGATATTAAAATGTACGATTTGTCAGCATGGTGGAGGCGGCAATAACTCATGAAATTTATTTCAGCAGGCAACCTTTTTAGCCAATACAACTTGCTTTTGACTGCTTTAAGCTCTCGACAGTATCTGGAAGGTTACATAATACTCACATGAAGGATTATTAGGAACACCAAACTAGTACTATGTTTGACTGCCTTTCGCCTTCAGAACTGCCTTAATTCTACATGGCATTGATTCAACAAGGTGCTGAAAGCATTCTTTAGAAATACTGGCCCATATTGATAGGATAGCATCTTGCAGTTGATGGAGATTTTTGGGATGCACATCCAGGGCACGAAGCTCCCATTCCCCCACATACCAAAGATGCTCTATTTGTTAGAGATCTGGTGACTGTGGGGCCCATTTTAGTGAACTCATTGTCATGTTCAAGAAACCAGTTTGAAATGATTTCGAGCTTTGTGACATGGTGCATTATCCTGCTGGAAATAGCCATCAGAGGATGGTTCATGGTGGCAATAAAGGGATGGACATGGTCAGAAACAATGCTCAGGTAGGCCTTAGCATTTAAAACAATGCCCAGTTGGCACTAAGGGCCTAAAGTGTGCCAAGAAAACATCCCCCACACCATCCCTACACCACCACCACCAGCCTGCACAGTGGTAACAAGGCATGATGGATTCATACACAACATTTTTCCAGTTTTCAGCTGTCTAATTTTGGTGAGCTCTTGCAAATTGCAGCCTTTTTCCTATTTGTAGTGGAGATGAGTGGTACCCGGTGGGGTCTTCTGTTGTTGTCCGCCTCAAGGTTGTGCGTTTTATGGCTTCACAAATGCTTTGCTGCATACCTCGGTTGTAAGGAGTGGTTACTTCAGTCAAAGTTGCTCTTCTATCAGCTTGAAACAGTCGCCCCATTCTTCTCTGACCTCTAGTATCAACAAGGCATTTTCGTCCACAGGACTGCTGCTTATTGGATGCTTTTCCCTTTTCACACCATTCTTTGTAAACCCTAGAAATGGTTGTGTGTGAAAATCCCAGTAACTGAGCAGATTGTGAAATACTCAGACCAGTCTGGCACCAACAACCATGCCACGCTCATTGGCCTCTCATTTACACGAAAACCCAGTTTTTAATCACAGAAAACAATTATTTCTAAAAACTCCGGCCAAAGTGGAGATTTCTGAAAACGCCGGTTATGTGTTGTCGTGTCAACTGGGAGAAACAGCGTTTTAGGTTCTCTCTTGTCGATTCTGAGGATTCTGATTGGCTTGCATGGCTTTATCCTTCTCCCTACACTGCCGCCCATAGGTTTGGCATAGTTATGATGGTGCTTGATGGCGTATTTATGCGGCTGTGTGAACGATGTTATTTTTGAAAATGGAGAGGGGGAAAATATTTGTTTCTCTAAATAGCCGGCTTTGTGTAAACGTGCCTTCAGTTTGGAGTTCAGGAGATTGTCTTAAACAAGACCACCACACCCCTAAATGTATTAAAGCAACTGCCATGTGATTGGTTGATTAGATAATTGCATTAACGAGAAACTGAAACGAGAAAATATTCCTTTAGGTGATTGTATGTTCCAGTTATTGATTATTAAAGTAGTTCCTCCCTTCTGTTTCCCAAAACCACGGTTAATATGGTTTCAAGTATTAGTCAAGTTGTTTTAGTAAATTTGTGTTGTTTTTTTATGGTATTAATTAAAGTTAAAGCTCATCAGATTCCCTTATAGTAACTAACTTTCATTTCTATAGGTTTTTTTGACACCAGGAGAAAGAAACTATTGCTGAAGGAGTCCGACACCAAAAAGAAGCGGATGCCAAGACTGGCTCCTCGGATTGGGGTGTGGTTTTAATAATTCTTACAATATACAATATATTTTGTGTGTTGTCTTTACTGTTCACTTTCTAAAAAAAAAAATAGGGGATATACGTAAAGACTGTCATGGCTATTAAGTACTTTCACACAAATTATTCAAATTATTCTTTTTAAAAAGCCCACATAGAAAGCTTCTTTCTAAATGTTCTGCTTTGACATGTTGCATTCATAGTGTTGTCAAAGCCCGTATAAATTGTAATCACATCTGCTTAGTGTAATTATTGTAACCTTTTCTATTGTGTTTTTTGGCAACGCCCCGAATTTGGAACAAGCCAAGTTGCATTTCACCAACTCATGATTTTCCCAATGTTTCATTATCCTGATGATTTGTAAAAAGCAATCACACTCACTTTTGTACTTACTTTATTCATTGCTTTTGAGCATATTGTAGGGCATCCCCCTCCATCGCTGTGGAGTTGAAAACAGTCCGTTCATGAAGGGGCCTAAACACATCACTCATTAAATAATCAAACCCAACTTTTTAAACAGATCTCTTAATTATTCTCTAAAGGTATGTTTATGGTACTTGTCTGTTTTCAGTAGTTTGATATATTTTTGATGAAGAAAATATTTCATTATAAATATAAAAGTGAGGCACTTTAAAGTTTGTGTGTTTGCTGGTGAATTATGCATTTTGTATTAAATGATTCAGTACAAACTCAGGATTGACGTGCAAAAGATGCTTGAAAAAGTAATCATGGAAGTGAAATAAAGAGGCAGGATGATGAAAGAAGGTAGAACAGGTCGGACTAGAGGTTGGAAAGTGAGCAGGACAAGGGAGAAAAATAGGGGGAAAGGATTTTTAAATTATTCATTTACTAATGTGAGAGAACACGTTTTCACCAGTCTGCCTTTTGATCCAGTCTTAAGCACAGTATTAATATTTCAGAAAATACTCCAGATGTGGTATGTTCTACCAGAACTGGGAGCATGGCTTTAATTTTACTCTGACTACTGCATATGTTTCATTACGATTTTGAAACAGAAACCCAAATCTGTGCAAAAGCATAGTTGCCAAATACAAAAAGAATGAAAGAGATTATAGACACATTTTTAGTAATACACCGAAAAGCTTCTACAGTACTCTGATGTGTTTTAGTACATTTTTGCTGATGCCTAATTAATATGTATTATTTGTTGATACATATTTATGCTGTTAATTGGTATTGGTGTGAACTGAGGCACTTTGTTTTAATGCTGTTTCATTTTCTGCTGTACAGAAATAACCAATAAATTGTGTTCCCTTTCGTAGTCACTTTGAGTTGAATTTTTTGTGAAAAAACTCAGGGAACGAGGGTTACATACGTAACCGAGACGTTCCCTTTCGTAGTCACTTCGAGTTACGTCAGAAGTGACGGAGATTTGGGGGGTTTCGCAATCTCCGTCACTTCTGACGTAACGTCTCCGTTCCCTACTCAGGGAACGAGGGTTACATACGTAACCGAGACGTTTTGAGGAAAAAACACTTAACACAAAACATTTTAACCATACTAGAAAATGGCTTGCTGTTTACTTACAGCTGTGAAGGTTGTAAAAGGTGTATTTCTGTGTCTGGTTATTTCCTTTTTTGTTAAATACACAAATATTTAAGTTGCATAATTTTTGTAAGTTCTGTAAATGTATGAAAACTAATTTACAAAAAAAAAAAAAAAAAAAAATTGTGTATTACAGAAGATTTATAGTTGGCACTGTATTAAAGCGGCTTGTGCGGACTTGAGTTTATCAATGCATTCACACACACACAAACACACACGCACACACACACACGCACACATACAGACTGTTTACTGATACAAGAGTTTATTAGAATAATTAATCGAAATGAGTGAATGAAATACATGGGTGCTTCTCAATTCTTATTTGTGCATCCTCGTTTTCTTTCCTCACTTCTCGGAAAAAATAAATAAACAGCGAACAAGTCATGTTTTGCCTGAAAAAATATAAATAAAGACATAGTTATCCAAGGTCAACAATAGTGTTCTGTGTGAAAGTGTATTAGTACTTACTCTGAAGTTCCTCTATAGTCTAGTGCAACCTTTTACTTCATTAAAGCTTGACGTTCTATTTGTCCCCTCAATTTTAGTTTTTTAACTCATAGTGTTCAACCTTGTGCTGAAGAATTATTTTATAGAGAGAACGGATGCCACCCTGTGCCATTTGTGCATAAGACATTGAACCCTCAATACATGCCTCATACAGCATAAAAAACAACATTGCCCACCTCTGTAGCCCTTCTTTCTGCAGGTGTGGATTCCTGCAACTTACACTGCTGTCAGAATAGAAAGTACATGAGAATACGAATTTAGGTCAGAGGTTATTTATGCACTTACAGGTTGTTCCTCCAAGGGACAGTAATCTGAGGGGTTTCATCACTGTCATGGTATCACAAAGTGAAGTGTTGTCTTCCCCATTGAAAAAAAATATAAACAATTTCACTTAGTGTACATGCTTCATCCACCACTTGCATGGGAACAGGTAAAAGTGTTGGTGTATTGTGTGAAACTGCACAATAGGGCAAAAACAGAACAAGAACTGCGGAAGAACAAGAGATTTAGCTGGATGGCTATTTCAAACCTTCATTAAAATGCCAGGGAACCGCCTGAAAGCTGCAAAAGCCAGGAGAGAGGGCTGGCAAAAAGTTGCAGACAAATTAAATGCGTAAGTACAGACTATATTACTAGTTTTTATACCTTATTAAAGTATATATTATGTACACAATTTAAAAATTGTTTAACTACTGTATCATCTCTGATAAAGCCCCCACATGACCCACTAGAACATAGGAACAAGTAAACGAAAAAGTGGTCCCACTTTATATTAAGTGGCTTTAAGTACTACTGTATGTACTTAAATCGAAAAATAAGTACAATGTACTTTTTGTTTTAAGGCTGTATTGTAAAACACTTTAGCTGCTACTGAGGTGTGATATAAGGTTAGGGTCAGGTGTGGTGGTATTATTAATTCTTTTAATTAATTTCAATGTAAGTGCATAGTATTTAAAGCCACTTAATTTAAAGTGGGAACGTTCTACAAAATGGTAATCTTTACGACTCTAGTACTGTTCCTAGTCTGTTTCAAAAAGGGACTGTTGAAATAATGTGCTTGTCTGGTTATAACAGCCACCAAGAAAAAGGCTGAACGAAAAAATAAGTAAAATTATGTCATTCTTAGAATTTTGACGGACTGAAATTGGCTTCTTACATACTGAATTCTGTGTCCAAATTTGACTCCTATCCTACCCCATGAATTTATGACTTGATTGATCATCTTGGAATCTTAATCCTGTTCTTAATCTTAATTTTAAACTTAATATTAATCCTAATCTTAATCCTAATACTCATATTAATCCTAATAGCAATCTTATTAATAATTCTAATATTAATCCTAATCTTAATCATAATATTAATTCATAACTTAATCCTAATCTTAATCTAAATCCTAATCTTAATCCGTTCACTTTTTGTTCAAAGCATTTTGCTGATATTTTTCAGGGTTACCTGCAGTATTCTGGTTCAGTTTTTATCAGTGGTGGAGGAAGTACTGAATCTCAGTACTTAAGTAAAACTACAAATAACCAGATAAATATTTACTTTAGTAAAAGTAGAAGTAACACAATGACAACCATACTTAAGTAAAAAGTAAAAAGTACCTGATTTTAAATGTACTTTAAGTATTAAAAGTAAAAGTACTTGCATAATTTATTTTCTTAATGTCTATTTTCTAATGATTAATAAAACATTTAATTCTAACTCATTCAATCTAATACTCCTATAATGATGTTCCATAATGATGGAAAAAAAATGTTGTCACAGTTTCTGAAACAAGCTTGCAATTAGGCAATATACACATCATGCTTATCCTTACTATATGTTAATAACTATGGCAGTAAACATGATTAATTTATGGTGTAATTCTGAACCTCTTGGCTTGCCATAATCCTAACCAAACGTATATTACACACGGTGCGTTTCCTATGCATGTAAAAACTAATTTTCGCATATAAATTGCACTATGAACGCACTGCGTGCGAGACACATTTAGTGTGACCGGGTTGATATATCTAGAGCCTCCATTTTTGCACTCAGGTCTAAGTCCCATGGCCCTCTATCAGAATCCAGAGTTTCAAAAACATCAGAGAAACTCAAAATTTCGACCCCCAAAAAAAAAAACTTTTTTTTTTGGAAAGAATAAGTTTCTCCAATCTTCTTGAAACTCTGGATTCTTATAGAGGGCCATGGGACTTAGACCTGAGTGCAAAAATGGAGGCTCTAGACCCTTCCAGAGCTGAGATATTGAGATATTTATAATGGCATAAATGCTACGTGGTATCTCAATATCTCAGCTCTGGAAGGGTCTAGAGCCTCCATTTTTGCACTCAGGTCTAAGTCCCATGGCCCTCTATTAGAATCCAGAGTTTTGAGAAGATCAGAGAAACTCAAAATTTCGACCCCCCCAAAAAAACGACAGTGTTACCCCTGTCGTTTTTTTTCATTTTCGGACGAAAAATTAAGTTTCTCCAATCTTCTCAAAACTCTGGATTCTGATAGAGGGCCACAAAACTTTGACCTGAGTGCAAAAATGGAGGCTCTAGACCCTTCCAGAGCTGAGATATCGAAATTCAAAATTTCGACCCGAAAAAAAAATGACAGTGTTACCCCTTTCGTTTTTTTTTCATTTTCAGGTGAAAAATTAAGTTTCTCCAATCTTCTCAAAACTCTGGATTCTGATAGAGGGCCACGAGACTTTGACCTGAGTGCAAAAATGGAGGCTCTAGACCCTTCCAGAGCTGAGATATCGAAACTCAAAATTTCGACCCGAAAAAAAAACGACAGTGTTACCCCTTTCGTTTTTTTTTCGTTTTCGGGTGAAAAATTAAGTTTCTTCAATCTTCTCAAAACTCTGGATTCTGATAGAGGGCCACGAGACTTTGACCTGAGTGCAAAAATGGAGGCTCTAGACCCTTCCAGAGCTGAGATATCAAAATTCAAAATTTCGACCCGAAAAAAAAACGACAGTGTTACCCCTTTCGTTTTTTTCGTTTTCAGGCGAAAAATTAAGTTTCTCCAATCTTCTCAAAACTCTGGATTCTGATAGAGGGCCATGAGACTTTGACCTGAGTGCAAAAATGGAGGCTCTAGACCCTTCCAGAGCTGAGATATTGAAACTCAAAAATTTGACCGGAAAAAAAAAGCGACAGTGGTACCCCTTTGTTTTTTTTCGTTTCGGGCAAAAAATTAAGTTTCTCCAATCTTCTCAAAACTCTGGATTCTGATAGAGGGCCACGAGACTTTGACCTGAGTGCAAAAATGGAGGCTCTAGACCCTTCCAGAGCTGAGATATCGAAATTCAAAATTTCGACCCGAAAAAAAAACGACAGTGTTACCCCTTTCGTTTTTTCCATTTTCGGGCGAAAAATTAAGTTTCTCCAATCTTCTCAAAACTCTGGATTCTGATAGAGGGCCACGAGACTTTGACCTGAGTGCAAAAATGGAGGCTCTAGACCCTTCCAGAGCTGAGATATCAAAATTCAAAATTTTGACCCGAAAAAAAAAACGACAGTGTTACCCCTTTCGTTTTTTTCGTTTTCGGGCGAAAAATTAAGTTTCTCCAATCTTCTCAAAACTCTGGATTCTGATAGAGGGCCAAGAGACTTTGACCTGAGTGCAAAAATGGAGGCTCTAGACCCTTCCAGAGCTGAGATATCGAAATTCAAAATTTTGACCCGAAAAAAAAAGACAGTGTTACCCCTTTCGTTTTTTTCATTTTCGGGCGAAAAATTAAGTTTCTCCAATCTTCTCAAAACTCTGGATTCTGATAGAGGGCCACGAGACTTTGACCTGAGTGCAAAAATGGAGGCTCTAGACCCTTCCAGAGCTGAGATATCGAAATTCAAAATTTCGACCCGAAAAAAAAATGACAGTGTTACCCCTTTCGTTTTTTTTCGTTTTCGGGTGAAAAATTAAGTTTCTCCAATCTTCTCAAAACTCTGGATTCTGATAGAGGGCCACAAAACTTTGACCTGAGTGCAAAAATGGAGGCTCTAGACCCTTCCAGAGCTGAGATATCAAAATTCAAAATTTTGACCCGAAAAAAAAACGACAGTGTTACCCCTTTCGTTTTTTTTCGTTTTCGGGTGAAAAATTAAGTTTCTTCAATCTTCTCAAAACTCTGGATTCTGATAGAGGGCCACGAGACTTTGACCTGAGTGCAAAAATGGAGGCTCTAGACCCTTCCAGAGCTGAGATATCGAAATTC